AATAAAATAAAAAGTAAATTTAGATCATTTTTTATTTAATATAAAAAATTATAAAGAATAATTAAAATTTGAATGATTTTTATTAGAAGTAATTATTAATTTTTATATTGGTATATCAATCTTTTTGCATTAGTCCATATTTTAATTATTTTATTATACTTTGATTTAATAATAAATAAAGTATTATTATATTAAAAAAACTAAAATAAATTTTTTTAAAAAAAAGATATTTTAAATATTATTACTATTAATTTGCAATATTAAAACTTCAAATTATGCAAGCAGGTTGTCCTATATTTGATAAATATAATTCTAATTTCATAAAAATTGAATCAGTAGTTATAAAGATATTAGATTCAAAGTTTAGTAATTAAATTATTTACTATATTTATTTTAATCAAATTTTATATAATAAAATTTAAGAAATAATAATTCAAAGTTTTTTATTAGTAAAATTTTTTTTATAAAAGATACATAATAAAAATTTTTATATTTAAATAAATCCTGATATCTAATAACTTAATTAATAAGACAGAATTAAAAATTTATTTAAAAAAATAATCTATTAATATTTATCTGATATATCAAATTTTTCACAATAGACCATATTAATATTATTATATATAATTGTAATATATATGTATTTAATAATTTTACTTTCATTTACTTTGTTAAATATATATAAACTGATATTTGCTAATTTGGTATCAATATCTATATCATATTCTATGCTTACTTATTCTATATGTATATGCAAATAAATATTTATATAAACTAATATTTTAATAAAAACAACATGATGTATAGTGATGATCAAAAGTAATACAATACAAAATTAAAAATTATTAAATCATAATATATTTATAAATAGCTAACAAAATTTAAATAAAATTAATAAATATGATATATTAATAGTACCAGTTTTATTTAATAAAATTTAATTTAATTATTAAACATAATTTCAAGATAAATATATAAACTTGCATAAATTAGTGTTATATTTCTTTTGATCTTTTATTCAGAAGATCAAATAGTAAGTAAATGCTATACAGAAGTCACAAAATAAATAACTATTTTATTTATCTTTTTTTCCTTAAATTATATTACAGCTTTTTAATAATAAAAAACAAATATCAAAATATCATATAACTCTTTAAGAAAGAGCTGAAATAATCATTTCACTTCAAAATGGATATATTACAAGAGAAATAGCAAGAATACATAAAATTATTCCTTCCACTATCTTATATATTAATAAAAAATGGCATGAATAACATATTTTAAATAATTTAAGTAAGTCTGATCATCCATAATTATTAAATGACCAGTTAGAAAGAACAACAACAATCCATCTTATTATATTCTGTGACTGTTCTATCATCATCACTATCCAAAATTATCTTTGTGAAACTGAAAATATCAAAATTTCAGAGCATACTGTTCATCATACACTAAAAAAATAATTTAGTAGTGAGAATAAAACAAAAAAAATCATATCTGAAGTCTGAACACCAACAATATCATCTTGAGTTTGCCAAAAAATATAAAAACTGGATCTATAAAGATTGGTCAAAGATAATCTGGTCTAACAAATCTAAATTTCAGATTTTTGGATCTGATAGAAAACAATATTATTGGAAAAGAACAGGTAAGTCATTAAAAAGTCATTATATTAAACCTATGGTAAAATTTAGTGGTGGAAAAGTAATGATATGGAATTGTTTCACCTTTTGCAGTGTTGGTAGCTTTTGTAAGATCAATAGGAACATGAATGGTGTATTATATCAACAAATTCTTGAAGAACTTATGAATACTATTGAAGAACATTGATTAGCTATCAATGAGATCATTTTCCAACAGGATAATGATCCTAAATATACAGCTAATTTGATGAAAGAGTGACTTGATAATAATAATATTACTGTTTTAGATTGGCCAGCACAATCACCCAATCTAAATCTAATTGGAATGAAGTAGATCATCATCTTCGGTGTCTTCCTGGATCAATTTCAGGTATGGAAGACTAATGGGAAAAAATACAGCTAGTTTGGAAGGAAATTGATGTGAATTATTGTACAAATTTAATTTGTTCTATGCCAGAAAGAATTTGTGATGTAATAAAAGCACATGGTGGTTATACTAGATGGTAGTATATTGGGTATAGTTAAAAAATAAAAAAATATGATGTTTTTATTTTATATTAAGGATTATACAAATTTATATTAAAAACGAGCAAATATAATGCAACACTAAAAATTAAATAAATGTTGCGATTGTGATATAATTGGTTTAATTATCCGCGTTGAATTTATCATATTTAAGTTATTTGCATATACGTAATTAAATCTATCAACTATAATTTGATGTTCTTAAGTCTGTGCAAAGATATCGCGATTTAACAATTTTTAATTTTGTGTTGTATTTGGGGGGGTCAAAGTTGTTGCAAGTTGTGGTCGATGCAGCCGGTTGGACACTTTGTCCTTCCCCTTTGGCCTTTCCAGGGACGGATGGGTCTAGTGTCCTGATGTGCATTACTTTTGATCGCCACTGTAAATAGGCTTTATTATTTAATTTCAAATCAATAATGTGGATAACTTTTGTATTATAATCGGTTGAAGTTAACGTTCTTTTATTCAGTAATTAATAAGCATAATATTTCTTTCTGAATTAACAATACTATTCGTTTATGGTATTAACTGGATGTTACTATTCAAAGCTTCATAGTCTCAGTTCTAAAAAAAATTATTGCAATTATAATTTGTCTTTCACATGAAATTTAGACCAAAATCCATTTCAATAAACAACGTGTACAAATTTACTTAAAATCCTTCACCATCTTTTAAGAGAAAGAAGTTTGAGGAATTTTTATTATTTAAAAATTTTCCTTACTATAATTTTTGATTGGCCTTTCAATCATTAGTTGCCGTTATCTCTAATTGTGAAGCCATCATAAATGCGACGAAAAGGGTGTTCAAATAATCATATGTTAGTATACCAAAATTTTAATAATGTATATAACTCTTTTCTAGGGTTTTCAGCGCCGAAAAAAAGGCACAAATCTCATTTTTATAATGCAATTATTCTTGGGAAATCCAAAAGCATTTCCAATTTCATCCCAACATTCGCTTAAAACGAAATTCGGTTGTACTTTCGGACATATTCAATATTCGATATTTTACAAAAAGATTAAAACCTTCAGTTCAATTCAATACATGTAAATTTTTGACTTTTATTATCAGAAAAAACAAACAATAAAATTAGGTTTATTTACATTATTAATTACTATTATCCATTACCCAATTATTAAAACATCATATAAATAAAAATTGCATTTCACAAATTAAATTACACGATTACAACAGGAGCTGAACCAATCACTTTACCATTCCTGCTCACTACCAAATTATTGTTTGCGAGATTGGTGCCGGAACCAGGCGATAATCTCGCGTCATTGACAGTTGTGGTAAAAGCTGACGTGCCACCATTTAAGATCGAGTAGTTAACTTTTAATACATAGCCAGATGGTTGGAAAGTAATTGTATAATCGTTAGGATTTGAGCTTTGATCGAATCCATTATTGAATTGACCAGTGAATACTGTTCCACCACTCGCAAGTTGGGTGATGGTTACACGTCCGCCGAGGAGATCTGCGTATCCAACGAACTGTGAGTCTCGTTTAACTACAGCTGGAAGAGAGTGAATGTAAGAAACCGAAATTAGGAGAACGAGAATTGTAGCGAACAAGAGCGAAAGAGGTGATTTTGGAGACATTTTATAGGTTACTAGTAGAGATAATTGATTCAAGTTTTATAAATTTGATAGATTTTTTATAAGTTTTTAATGCCTTTGATTAATTCCTTGTAAAAGAATGATGATAAATGCACACTACTCCACCTCTATATATACTTTTTCGGAATCTAATAAAAACCACTTTTCTATGTGATGTGTTTTTTTCGTGCTTACATGGATGGCTACACCACACACGACGATTATGCCAAGCCATTCATAAATTCAAAGCCTCTGTTAAATAATACATGTGGTGGTTGAATATCCTTTTTAGAAAGATCAACGCCCTTTTTAATATATGTAGTGGCTTCAACAAACATTGTGTAGCACAGCCAAATCGTGATTAGAAAACATCATTGTATAAATGACGAAAATTTTAGAAAACAATAACGAAAATTTTAGCAAACCAGAATTTTGAAAACTAAAAGTATAAAATAAACATACGAAAAATGGCGCAAGAAAAATAAGAACTTCCTTGGCGCGCTTTGCTTGTAATTATTTTTTTGCGCTGCCATAACAAATATTGGCTTGTTGGCTCTAAAAATAATCAAATTAAAATTGCGTTTACAATAATATTTACAAATCAATTGATAACTAAAAGTTTGATAATTTGTATTCTAGGCAATTTCTATCTAGCAGATTGAAAAAAATAATTTGTACAAACTAAAAATGAGTGAATGAATGCTAGCAATATATCTTCTTTCATCAATCGTTAAATCACTCCATTTGCGAGCCCCATGCTGACCGATGAAACGGGTCCGTTAAAGCGTATCCAAGTTGTATTCCCAAGGCAAACGCCATATTCTTAGGAACAGCGTTTCCTAAAACTCAGTATCAATATTATAAAGACACCTTATTATTAAAAACCATTTCAAAAATCGATAGAAAAAAATTACCGATAATTTTATACTGGTCCTCGATCTGACCAATTATAATATCAGAATCGAGAAATCCTGAAAGAATAAAAAGGTATACGTAAAGAAATCAAATCAAAAATATATGTCAGATAAAGTCGAGTTAAAAACATGCCTTGTGCGCAAGCCGCTTCACGTACAGTGATTATTCTCGGTTCTTCATAGTGAACCGTATTTGAATTCTATAACGAACATGCGTGGAAAATATCAATTAAAAATGGATAATACAAAATTCAAAGCAGCATTAGAGACTCACGGTCGACGACAGTTCTACAAAAAAAACTAATTAATCTAAAATCAAAATTAAAATCAAAAACATTAAAAAAAATCTAGAATTCACTTACTTATATTTGTTGTAATCGTGGAAAAAACGCCATTTTTATTAATACGTTGACAACATGGTGAACCTGTAGAATTCATAACTTGTAGTTCTTCTGGAATCAGTCCACGTTCTAAAGCGGTAAAATAATCTGCTTTTGGTTCTTTTGGAATCAGTTTCATGATTTCTTTGTCGCGGTGATAATTCTTATAGAAGGTGTTGATTCTATGGTCGGGGAAAGACGGAAACCACAAAACACCTGTTTGAATACGAGGTAATTTCCCGATGGCTCTCTCAATAGTGATTGTCGGAAAATTGATATATTCTGGCTTGGTAATACCTCTTATACTATATAATAAATAAGAAATTAATATTCAAGACCTTTAAATTTTCAAACCATAAAGGAAAAGAGGGTATTGTGACGAAGACGGGTATTATGAAGAAGTCAATGTCATATTATATCAAAATGATATCACACATATCGATCACTACGCATTTTATTGACATTTTTGTATGTTTAAACTTACGTTGGTCCTCTAGGTAAGTCAATTGTGTATTGATGATGTCTATATATTTCTCCAGAGTCGTGAGTTACGGGAGGCAAATCTGGAAGCACGACCTCTTGTTTTGCCCCCCATAAAATTGTCCGGACTCTAGATTGTGGGCAACCAATTTGCTCGCCAGACACCAAGCCAAATTTAACTTGGTATCCAATTTCCAACAGACATGCGACCAATTTAACGAAAACTAGAAAGTAGAATTAAATATCAATCCAATCCAACTCAAAAATCCAAATAAAAACAAAGCATTTACCGGGTTCCTTAACAAAAGGAGCCACATTTTCTAATAACAAATATTTAGGTGAATAATATTCTGCAAATGATGCAAAGGAAGCAATAAGTGAGTTGTTAACTTGACTTTTACTGCTGCCTTTTTGTCTATTCAAGGTAGAGAATCCTTGGCAAGGAGAGCCTGCAATAAGAATTTCGACATCTCCCTAGAAAAATAAAAATCTGCTAGAAATGAAATCTTTATAAAATTTTAATATATAAAATTTTACCTTTTTTGGGATCCTTGGATTAATATTCTTGACAGCATCAGATAGTATTTTATTAACACTTTCGTGCATTACAATTACATTGTTGTATTTTGCATTTTGCCGGAATGTTTGGCATGCCTCGAAATATTTATCAAATGCCCTGGTAATTCAGACAAACAGAATTAATTTATAATTTTGAATAAAATATTAATAAGAAATATAAAACAAGCGACGAGAAGCAATAATACCATCGGCATTCAACAAATTGCGAATCCTCCAATCCTCTGCTCAGAGAACCGCTACCACAAAATAAATCCAGTCCGCGTAGCTTCGTCTCTTCGGAGACTTTTTGGCAATATGGTTTGAATCTAGTGATAATTTTTTCATCTGTAACTAGTTCAATACTATTCCACTTGAAACCATATTTTCGCGAAAACCAAAACTTTTATAAAAAATTAAAATAAATGTAACAAGATTGAAATAAAGTGAAAAGTAAAATAACAATAAAAATAAAATATACGTGCATGATTTCCGGCTCCAAAATACTGTAGATTAATGGGAAGTGGGTTTTTATTATCGGGATAATAAGCTAGCCAATCTGAATAATTGAAATATTCGACATGGCAAGGCCTAATTGGTTTATCAAATTTTTCGAACTCGAAAACGAGCTCTTCCGAATAAAGGAGCTCATTTAGCTCATTTATTCCTCCCCATTTTTCTTCCCGAACTTCATGAAAACGAAGAAATCGACGTAATGTGGCTGATTTTTTTTGGTAGTTAAATGCTTCGATGCATGCGACTGTGTAAAATTTTGTCGAATCTTCGGAAATAGGGTCAATAAGTATACAATCTCCTACTCGATATTTTTCGACGAATTTGTACCAGCCCTCATCTTTCACATGAAAACAACCACATAGTCGATCGAGTCGAGTTAAATACTCTTCGGAGAGCGCAAGAAAATCGCCTTCAACATGCCGATAATAATAACGACAAAAATAATGATTTTCTTTCGCTATAATCAAAACAGAATAATTAATTCAGGTTTCATTTTCTTTGAATAAATGGTAATTTGTAATATATATTTCCCTGGGCAAGAAGAAGCGAAAAAATCCACTTTAACCTTTCTTTTAATGTGTTCATATTTCCCATGTTGTTGACATTCACCATGTCTGGTAAAAAATAATTCTTGAGTCGCTTGAGGATGCAAATCTTGGTCTAAATTCTTTAATAAGGTTTGGTTTCGTGTGTAGAGCCATAAAAGCTTAAAACCTTCTGGTTTTAATTCAGTCAAAATGCTGTGGAAAGAAAAAATTAAATTTAATGTTTTATGAAAAAATGAACATATAAGAAATACCAGATTAACGGTTCATCGTCAGCTTCATCTTCGTCTGGATATACTTCGACCGTGTCGCCGACCGTAAAGGAAACTTGGTCCAACATAACTGTATTTTTTTCGAGAAAAATGAGTTGTGTACATCTGTTGTGGCATAAAATTCGAAATTCGGACTTTTCATTAGAATTTCTAATAGCTGATGGTAGTGATGCTTGTGTAGATTGCGAACTTTGGTTGTCAATATTTTGGGTTACTACAAAATAATAATAATACGATTGAAAACGATTATCGTTATGGGACAATAAAACGCTTAATCCGAAATCGCAAAATTTTACCCAGAAACAGACGACCAGGAAAAACATCTTTAAACCAACGAAAAACCGTCGGCGTGACAAAGGTTTTTTCGTGTTGCTTATGAGATTCGGTCTATATGACAGTGAGCTTAGTTAAATATGAAAATCTTTGAAAAATCCAATTATAACAAAATTACTTTCAAGCTCGCTTCTTCTAACTGATTTTTAGCGTGACCGATATCTTACATAAAACGTATAGTTATTTTTCTACACATTAATAGAAAAAATAAATAATTACCAAAAGTTACCTCTGAAAAATGTCAGTCCCAATAAAACCTCAGCATTCAAGTTCTTTGCTTGATTATGCAAGAAATGACCACATGCATTTACAACACCACGAAAATCAGTCTTGCCCTGCATCCCAGATAACCACCAACAAAATTCTTTATCGTGATTCCATTTCTCGGTCACCCATTCATAAAAACATTCTTTAAAATCCATTAACATAATATCTGTGCGAACATCTGCCCATGAAAAAATGTGTTTTGCGAAGATCGCTTTCCAGAGGAATGCGTTATATAATGGATCATATGTCTTTGCTGCTGAAAATAACCAATACCAGACATTTTTGTCGAGCGTCGATCGCAGCAAAATTCTTACGCCATGTGCATCGTCCCGATACTGTATTGATATTTCGTCAAATCGTGCCTAAAATATTAATTAGTTCTTGGTTGAGTAATCCAGAACATTGTATTTTAAGTAAACAAGGGAAAATACCTCTTTAACAAGAATTTGGTTATCTTCCCTAGGAATTGAGATGAGCGCATCCCAAAATAAAGTAGTAGTTCTATTCATTTCTTGTAGGTCGTAAATATTTGTTAACTAAAACAAAGTTAATAACTTTGCAAATCAAAAGAACAAAATAAAATTGCGAAAAATAGTGTTATTATAATTACGTCTCTATGTTCATTATAAATCACGAACTCTGTTAATTCAAAATCTTTCTTTGGAGCATAATCCTTAACTAATTGCAGTTCGTTCAACGCTATGATTTTCGGATTGCATGTATTATTCTACTTGAATGAATAAAATGCTTACATGTACATATTGGTATACAAAAAAGAAAAAAGAAAATAGCGTTTGATTTACGTTACCATATTTGAAGAATAGGCATTAGGAATTTAAAAATTTGAAGCTAACTAATTTACTTGTGAATGAACAATTAAAAAGGAGAGAATTGAAACAGCATTTATATAATATTTTTATATAGAAAAAACAATAAAATAAACTTTTTATGCGTAATTGTGCTTGAATCAACATTTAACGGGTCATCTTCGAATCACAATATGGTGATAAATTATAATTATGTGATAAAAGGTAAATTATATAATGTAATGTATTATTACTGTTATAAATTATGTATAATTCTGAGTTATTATATATATTAATTTGTAAAAAAATTGTAATATATATATATTAATAAAATAGTTAAAACAAAAGTTAAAAATGATTAAATTACATCATAAATAGTTTTCAATGAATTTTCAGGTAAAAGATTGACAATTACTATCTAAAGAAAATTGTTTTTGATGAACGATTTTACAACGGCCTCTTTATCTCAAGATCCAGAGTGTAAGGCCCAACATTCGATTCAGAATCTAGGGGATCGAATGAGTATGTCTTACACTTTATTCCCATCACTGAGTCTTAAGATATTGAGTCCCAATCTATTTTACGAGATTATGTGGTGGATTACGTAATTTGCACTCTTATATGAAACACATAAAATCAGCGACCCTGATACAAAGTATAAATAACACTTCTAAATTTGTATGACAAATTCAAGTCTATAAAAATTTAAATAAATAAAATCTAGTAAATTCTTGGAAACTTCTTGTTCATGATATCAGATATAAGTCTAATTAAAATGATTTCAAAAAAAATTAATCACATGTTGAAAAATCTATACTGTATTTACTTTTTCGAAGTTCAAATTGCTCCCGAGTTAATTTATAAGATAACGCCACAGATATTTTTTAAAAATCGGCGAGCTTGGTGAACTAAGAACATCACGTGATATTATGGTTCTACCATTGATTTTTGAAATTTTTCACTAATACTAATGACCGAACCGTCCGTTATATCGATTTTGACTGTGTAGTCGAAAATGCAACTTTTTCGAAAAAATTAACTCATATTTTTGCTTTTGGGGATAAATTGTAATTTTTGTAAATCTAACCTTCTCAAGAAGTTAGAATTATCCATTATAATGATAAAATCGTTAATTCCGAAATTTCATAATAGCGTTGAACTTACCAAAAGTGGTCGATCATCTGTTCTGTCCTGTGTTCTATATCTCTCCTCTATCTTCTCTATCATCTCTATCTATCATTGCCCCCAATTATATGCACAAACTCCGCCTTTCTATCCTCTCTATGATCTATATCATTTATATCCTTCCCTCTATCAGCATATCCACGAATTGTATTTACTAATTTCATTTTTCTCTCTTCTATATCTACCCTATCTTTACTATCTCCCCCCTCCATCATGATAATGTCTTCGATTGAATGTGAAATCCCATTTTACTACGTAAACCCAAAAATGTATGTATATATAGACAAGCTAAAGAATTTCAATAAAAAAAATTTGCGTACAAATTCTTCACTAAAGAGAATAAACTTGTAAAATACTGTACCTTGATAATTATTGTAATCGTTGATGGTTAGGTCCTTTGGTCCAGAAAAGGAATCGTGATTGAGTTGTTGTCGAACTCGTTTAGTAAATTTTAAGGCTTTTAACTAGAAAGCGCGATAGTGATAGATTGTCGTAATATTGTACAGCTCCAGTCATCTAGTCCCAACAAATTTTGTATTTCTTTTTTATATTGTATCTCCTCTTTCTATATTAGGACTACTTGGTAAAATTTATCGTAATTCGATAGATTTTATCTTAAACTTTCAAGTTACGATTTTAGAATAAAAATTTATTTAAACAAAAAAGAGTTATGAGCAAATTTTTTAGCAAAATTTTCTTATATTAGATAAAACTTAGAATATATATTGGTTCACAATACTCATGATGTAATAAGTGTGTGATACAGTTATTAATGCGATGAGTGTCCAGATTAAACTGTGATGACGATAAAAATGCAAGGGTTACACAATATCATATTTTATCGTGTAAAATCAATGTTAACACCACTTTTAAAATCAAAACAAATAATATTCCAATGATATGAATGTTAATATGCTGTTAAAATGATCCATTATTCAATCCTTAATAATATTAATTAAAGAATATTAAGATTTTTTTCTTAAAACCCCGAAATATTCTATGCAAATGGAAAATAATTTTTTGGATTTGTTGTTTTGTTTAATTGAAAAAATATTTTTTTGTAATTTTCATAACTTCGATTTTTGATTTCTGCGCCAGTTGAATACATAATATACTTTAATTTTTTCATATATTTAAAGGTATTTTAAAGAGTTGTAGCATTGAAAATGAAATAATTAGTGTATAGTCTTCTATAAATAGTAGAAAAAGTCATCAAGTCTTCAGTAGTAGTTAGATCTGTTTTTGAAATAAAATCACATTTTCAATAAAAATTTGCACCTTCCGGAAATATTACTTGTATTTAGCATTAGTTTCCTAGTATTCAGTACGTAGTACATGTATAGCAGACAGTGACTTTCTTTATAGTATAGGCAAAAATCCGACCATTTTTTACATTATAAAGAGAGATTCACTAAAAAATCTCTTTTTATTGTGTGTTTATTATTAAATCACATGATATATACTATAATGAATCCGAATAAATTAATTAATAGCTAATATAAATATATGTAAATATCTTTTACTTTTATAATAACTTGCAAAATATTAAAGAATTAGTAATAAATTTAGTAAAATACTTCAACTCAGAATATTTCTACAGTGGTGACCAAAAGTAATGACTCAGGGGCTAAATTTACTAATAAAACATAGTATTTTCTCTCTATATTAAAATTTATAATTTTAATAAGAAATAATTTTTATTTTTATATTAAAATAAAGTTTATCAGT